AGACCATAATTCTATAATCACAGTATTTTATAGAAATTCCTCCCCTCAAATATTGTTTCCTAGTTTATGATCATCTTGCTTCAGATCACCAATCTGTTATAATGCCTTGCACTTAAACAAGGAAATGCATTAAATATTACCGTCTTTGATCATCACATAACTTTGATGAGCCTTTCTTGCCATTTAAAGTACCCAAGTATTGAAAATCAGAACAAACAGAGGGATTATTATAAAAGAAACAACAGTACTCTCCCATTCATCTTTGCAAATAAGAACAGTTCAAAGTAATACACAGAATAAAACAGTGAATTTAACCAAAATGCACACATACACACACACAAAAAAAAAAGATGCTGGAGGCTACATGATATCATCGCTGTACCCTTCAAAACAGAATCCTATCATTTGGAATTATAACACATTCTTCTTCCACTAAGTCTGCCCCGTGCAAAAGGTATCAACCTTCCAAGGGTGAGAATCCTTCAGAGAAAAGCCCCAAAACACCTTACAAAAATCCTCTCAGGTAAGTTCAGGAAAAAGCATGGAGAAGAGAAGCTAAAGGGATCATTTTTCCAACTGACCAACTCATCTTCAAGGCTTAGAATTTGTATGTAAGTTACATAGACCTTGTTCCTAACACTTAAGAATTCTAGAATACATTGGGCCAATTCACCAACTATTTAGAAGGCAGAGACAGCCAGATGTACTTATTTGTATGAGGCAAAGTTATCATAAACTAAACTAAAAGAGCTAGTTCTTCATGATCAACTCAGTTTACTCCATATAATACCACAGAGAAAAATGAATAGCTCTTTCAAAATCCAATGTCTGTAAAGAAAGAACGCCTTGAAGGAAAACGGTACCATACTTAAGGTAGTGGTGTCTTTTATTAGTACAGTAAAGTCCTATTTTTATGGAATAGGATGGGTCTGAGGTCATTCCATAAAATTGATTTCCCAGAAAATGGAAATAGGCAATTTACCCTAAGAATTTTATTGAAAAATTATGCTATTCTATTTGAATAATGATGGGAATGTTCTACACGTTTCCTTTATTAATGAATTAAAATACACAAAACACCATAAAATTATATTAGAGGTTCAAAAGTATCACTTAAATCTTCTTTACCAGTCACTTTCATTTTGTAAAATCAGCAGTTCCATTAAAATCGTATTATGTAAAAATGGGTTTTTACTGTAATAATAGTTATTACCTATTTAGCTTCCAAGGATGTTGTGAAAATTAAATAATAAGCCATTGGAAAGCAAATACAAAGTGTCGCTAATACCAGAGGCCAAGAGGGGCGGCCAGATGGAAAAATGAAGGAAAAAAGCACCTGATACATTACAAATCACAGCTCTCATCTATAATTTCATTACCACCATATTCTACACAGTGACCATGTGCACAGTTGCCATCTCATTGAATCTTCTTAACGTATGATATATTAATTATAGCCCTCATGTTGTAGATGAGGGTCAGAAAGGTTTCCACCAATGTTACACAGTTGGTAAACATCAGAATCCAATGTGAACCCAGGTTTATCCTAGTTTAACAGCTGAATCCTCAATATCCCCCATGTGCCTCATAACTGCATCCCAACTTCTTACATCATCTTTCAAAATGTTTCAAATGCTTCTTCCTCCATGAAATCTTTACTCTCTCACCTGAGACAGTTTGATTCTAAAGACCTTCTGTGTTTATTATAACTATGTTGTATGATAAGGCATTGTGAGTTTTACTAACTCAGCTAAATCAGCTATTACTGACCAGCTATTTTAGGTCATGGCTGTACCTTACTGTCTCTGGGGCCCTGATCCTAAGTACTTGGCACTTCACCTCCAACACTGGAAATGTTCAGTAAATATTTGTTAAACTGAACAGGAAACGGCTGTTAATTTGAGTTACGTTTGCTGATAGATGCAAGGCAAGTGCTTTTGATAATGTTTCTTTGCATTAGATACCTATTTGAAAGTTTCTTTAGATTTTTCAAGTGTGGTAAGATTAAATCCCTTAAACAGAACATCTAACATACAGTGAATAAGATAATAGATAGATAATAGATAATATTGTTTTTGTTTTCAGTTCTAGTTAAGGGAACAATGTGAATAGCAGAGAAATCGAAATTCAGGATAATATGCAGCCTAATTTAAAATCAGTGCAGGTAAAGGTAGTAACTTTTTAAAAAAAAGTATACAATCAAGTATTAGAGTTCTTAACCAAACTCTCTGATTTCCTTCTCCAGCTTCTTTCCTTACTGACTGGGTAAAAGGTGAGCGGGTTACTTAACCTCTCTGTGTTCCAAATTCTCTGTCAGCAAAAATGTGGAAAATAGGAACTTCTTGTATTGTAAGTGTGAGTATTGAGTGAAAAAAATCAACATAAAACACTGAGCACAGTACCTGACGCACACCAAGCACTCAAATGACACTTGCTACCATCATAAAAATCACTTAATAATTTCCAGGAATCTGATCAAAGGATGTTATTTTCCACAGATTCCTAAGGTCTAGTACTAGTATTGTCAAACCCCAGATTCATGGTGTGATTGAATCAGGGTTGGTATCCCTGAGCTCATGCACATCACCTAAGCCACACTTCCTGAGCATCCATCCTGGATCAGACTTAGGTGAAGAAACTTGATTCAAACAGAGTGGGAATGCAGGAAACAGCACAGCCAAGAAAAGGTGAAAAAGGGTTGAGAGAGAGGCAAAACCACAGGCAGGAAGAGGAGCGAGGCTCTGTCCAGAGGAGGTCAAAGCATCAGGAGGCATTCGCCAAAAGTCAGAAGGGAAAAAAAAAAATCACAGCAGCTCCTGCACAAGCCTCAAAACTGGGCAGCAGGATGGATTCCAGTGCTACCCGGGAGCAGGTCATTTGCTGGCTTTAGAAGAGAGGTTATGTGTGAAGAGGAGAGCACAATGGGCAGAGGTCCAGGATCGGACTCTATGTCCTGTGTCTCTCTTCACTCACCTGCCTTTCCACTTGAAAACTACAAATAATGAACATACTGTGTGCCTTGAAGAGACACTGGCTCTCTTGCTCTCCCCACAGCACTGAAGGGCTAATGAGAAGGTAGCTTACAATTCCAGTGCCCACTGCCCCCTCCCTTGTTCCTTCAGCATAGATTTGTGCTCTTTAAGAGCAGCTTCATGGAGAATTCAGACCCATTTTCTGAGCTAACCATGAACAAAGGGACAGAGGACGACGGGGAACACCAGGGGCTCCCGGGAGCCAGGGCACAGTGGGCACAGGGAGTGCATTGCCAGGCAGGATGGGCGAGATGGCTCATCGCTCAGCACAAAGGCCCCAGAGGACGCTAAAAGCTTGGCAACCTTCAAAAGCTTCTCTTGCTTCCTGCATGGGGTGGGAGAAACAGCTTGCTTAGTGGGAAAAACCATAGCCCAGGGCGAATCCGCTGGCTAGATTCATCAAAGAGATGGCTGAGACAGAACAGATTTTCCTTTTCCGTATAAGATGACTCACAAGCTTGTTTATTCAAAAAGTTACATCCTCCATTGAAGAGAGGTGGATGATGGGGAAGCCGGACGACAATAACTCGAGTTTGTATTGGGCAGTCCACTCCCTCCTGCTCTGCATCCTTCTGTGCAGTTACACAGAGGCATCACCAGGGCCCAGAAGGTGATCAGTGTATTTTGTTTTATTCTGTCTTCATTCTGCCATTGTAAATAGAGCAGACAACATAACTACTTCATTTTATTTTACCCTCAGTCCTTTTAGAAAGAGAAAGTAGTGTTTCAGAATAAAGACTTGGAATCTGACTGTTTGGGTTCAAATTCCTCACTCTGCTGAATTGCAAGCTGTGTGACCTTGAATAAGTAACTTAACTGTCCTGGGCCTCTGTGTCTCTGTCTGCAGAAATGCAAATTGTGATATTATTTCCCTTACAAGGTCTTCCTGAGGGCTAATTTAGTACACAGAGAACAGTTTTTGGTACACTATTAGTGCTTAGTATTTGACATTATTATTATTTCACAGATGGCCAAATTTTCTTCCATGACAGATCTTCTTTTAATTCCTATTACCTTAAGAGGTTCAAATTAAACCATAAATGAAATTAGGTCTTTTGGAGGAAATATAATTATTCTATGAAAAATATTTCCTTCTCAGGCTAGGGAGATTTTCTGGAACTATCTTGAACTTTCTTTTAAGGAAAAAGAATGTTGTAAATAAGGGTGTGTGTTTCTGTTTGTCTTAAGAATTATCTTTCTCCTGTACCTGGGTATATGGGAGACAGTTGGAAGTGGATGAACACATGAATGTATGTACGAATGGACAGATAGATATTTTTATAATTTATTAAACTATTTCTTTTCTATAATTTTGAGAAGTCATGACAATGGAGAGTTTTGTTTTGTTTTTATTTTAACCTCCTTTTTTTTTTTTTTTTTTTTGGTACTGGGGATTGAACTCAGTGGCACATGACTACTGAGCCACATTCCCCAGGCCTAGTTTGTATTTTATGTAGAGACAAGTTCTCACTGAGTTGTTTAGCACCTCACTTTTTGCTGAGGCTAGCTTTGAATTCACGATCCTCCTGCCTCAGCCTCCTGGGCTGCTGGGATTATAGACGTGCACCACCTAAATCCTAAATCCTGTATGTAAAATTCACAAAGGCAAAAATAAGGAGGCATGTATAAGTTGTTCTCCATTTTTCCTTGTGTCTTTCAGACTTAAGAATATTGGAAGCTGTAAATTTGTCCTCTGAAACATTAGAAAGTGATCTAGTTAGCAAATGATTCCCTTCTTTTGGCATGATGATTATTCGTTTCACTTTTAATAAACATAGTCCAGACTGTCTGTTCTGGATTTCACTGCATTGTGAGACTCCTATGTTATCTCAAAGAGGGCTATAAAACAAGTGGTTATTCCTTTCTACTGTATTTACTATGTTGTAAAATGTAAGTAAAACATAATCCCCAATCAGGTTGACTTGGCTCAGTCTGTCTGTGATTAATCTCATGGGGTGTATCACTCACTGGGTAAAATCAGGACGTCATCCCCCGGGCCTGGTATGGTATGGTTGTGTCCTCCCCATCCCTCTTCAATGTCTTGCCATGTTTCAGGAACTGACCACTTTAAAATTGATTCAGGTGCAGAGGTGGAAGCTAAAAAATAAAGGGGAAAAAAAAAAAAACACAGGTAAATTCACTATAAAACTTCCAAATTCTATCCTTATTTTAGGAATCTGGGGGTATTTTCATCTCCAAAAGTAACCACTTTTTAATACTTCATAAGATTCTTTTCTTAGTTTGTTCTTTTTAATTATACATGACTGTACAGTATATTTTGACATATTGGTATGAACATGGAGTACATTTTATTTCAACCAATTGTGTGGTTGTACATGATGTGGAGATTCACTGTGATTTATTCACATATTAACATAGGAAAGTTAGATCCAATTCATTCTGTCTTTCCTATTCCCTTCTCCTTCCCTTCCCTTCATTCTCCTTTGTCTAATCCACTGAACTTCTATCCCCTCTCCCATTGTGTGTTAACATCCACGTATCAGAGAGAACATTCAAGCCTTATTTTGGGGGCCAAGTCACTTAGCATAAGAGATCCATCCATTTTCTGCCAAATATCATAATTTTGTTTGTGACAGAGTAATATTCCATTGTATACATATCCCACATTATTTTTATCCATTCATCTGTTGAAGGGCACCTAGGTTGGTTCTGTAGCTTAGCTATTGTGAATTGAGCTGCTATAAGCATGTCTGTGATATGTCTGTGTCCCTATAGTATGCTGATTTTCAGTCCTTTGGGTATATTCTGAGGAATAGGATAAGTGGGTCAAATGGTGATTTCATTCCAAGTTTTCTGAGGAATCAACCTCAATACTGCTTTCCATAGTTGTTGCACCAATTTGCAGTCCCACCAGCAATGTATGAGTGTACCCTTTTCCCCACATCCTTGCCAACATTTGTAGTCTTGTAGTCTTGATTATTGCCATTCTGACTGGAGTGAGATGAAATCTCAGTATAGTTTTAATTTGCATTTCTCTAATTGCTAGAGATGTTGAACATTTTTTCATGTATTTGTTGATTGACTATTTCTTCTTCTGTGAAATATCTATTCCGTTCCTTTGCCCATTTATTGATTAGATCTATTTGGGTTTTGCTGTTGTTGTTGTTGTTGTTGTGTATTAAGTTTTTTGAGTTCTTCATCTATCCTGGAAATTAATGCTTTGAGGTGCAGGTGGCAAAGATTTTCTCTCATTCTATAGACTCACTCTTCACATTCTTGTTTTTTTCCTTTGCTGTGACAAAGCTTTTGAGTTTGATTCCATCCCATTTATTGATTGTTGTTTTATTTCTTGCACTTTAAAAGTCATGTTGAGGAATTCAGTTCCTAAGTCAACATGATGGATTGTTAAGCCTACTTTTTCTTTAGTAGATGTAGGGTTTCTGGTTTAATGCCTAGGTCTTTGATTCACTTTGAATTGAGTTTTGTTCAGGATGAGAAGGACTCACATTCTGCTACATATAAATTTTCAGTTTTCCCAGAACTATTTGTTAAAGAAGTTATCTTTATTCAAATGTATCTTTATGGCACTGTTGTCTAGTATGAGATAACTGTATTTATGTGAGTTTGTCTCTGTGTCTTCTATTCTATCCCTTGGTCTTCATGCCTGTTTTGGTGCTAAGAGCATCCTGTTTTTGTTACTATAGCTCTGCAGTATAATTTAAGGTCTGCTATTGTAATGCCTCCTGCCTCACTTTTCTCATTAAGGATTGCTTTGGCTATTCTGAGTCACTTATTTTTCCAAATGAATTTCATGACCTTTTTTTTTTTTTACTTCTATGAAGAATATCATTGGAATTTTAAAAACAATTGCAATAAATCTGTATAACACTTTTAGTAGTATGACTATTTTGGCAATATTAATTCTGCTTATCCAAGAACATGAGAGATCTTTATATCTTCTAAGGTCTTCTTCCATTTTTTTCTTTAGTGTCCTGTAGTTTTCATTGTAAAGGTCTTTCACCTCTTTTGTTAGATTGACTCCCAGTTTTGTTTTTGTTTTTGTTTTTAATGCTTGGAACGAGATAGTTTCTCTAATTTCTCTTTCAGCTGATTCATCATTTAAGATGATGAATTGATTTATGGGTATTAATTTATTTTCCTGCTAATTTGCTGAATTTTTTTATGATTTCTAGAAGCTTTCTGGTGGAGATTGTGGGTCTTCTAAATATAGGATCATGTTATTGGCCAATAGGGATATTTCAAGCTCTTTTCCTATTTGTATCCATTTAATTTATTTCTTTTTCCTAATTGCTCTGGCCAGAGTTTCAAGGATTATGTTGAATAAAAGTGGTGAAAGAGGGCATCCATGTCTTGTTCCAGTTTTTAGAGGGAATGCTTTCAGTTTTTCTACATTTAGAACAATGTTGGCTTTGGGTTTAACATATATGCTTTTACAATGTTGAGGTATTTTCCTACTATCCCTAGTGTTTCTAGTGTTTTGAACATGAATGGATGCTGTTTGTCAGATGCTTTTTCTACATCTATTGATATAATCTTGTGAATCTTGCCTGTATGTCTATTGATGTGGTGAATTACATTTATTGATTTCTATATGTTGAACCAACCTTGAATTCTTGGAATGAAACCCACTCAATCATGGTGCACTATATTTTTAATGTGTTTTTGTATATAATTTGACAGTAAAATTTTATTATTAATTTTGCATCTATATTCATCATGGATATTGATACTTTATAAGATTCTATTAAAAATATTTTTCACCTAGAAAATAATTTCTCAATTCTTTTATTATCTCCATTTCTGGGAAAAATATATTCCAATCTTATTAAACATTTGAGTTTTGCTTTATTATAAATATCACATATGCTTATCACAGAGTATTTGGAAAATTTCAATAATGAAAAAATAGTAATTACCTATAATGTCACCACCTCATAGTGATAACTGCTATCAACCCTTCATTGGTGTTTCCTTCTAGAATTTATCTGCATTTTTATATAGTTGAATGATAGCATAACCATTTTTGCTTAGCCATTTTCCTATGCATTTTCTAATGTCTTTAAAATTCCTTGTGAACATAATTTTAATAATTACTAATATTCTATCATACCAAAATCTATAATTTGTCAGATATGTGGTGCACACCTGTAATCCCAGCATTTTGAGAGACTGAGGCAGAAGGATCATCATTTATTTAAGGCCAGCCTTAGCAACTTAGTGAGACCCTGTCTCAAAATTTAAAAATAAATAAAAGGGGCTGGGGACATAAGTTAGTGGTGGAGCACCCCTGGGTTCAATCCTCAATGCAAAAAAAAATCTATAACTTACGTTCCATAATGTCACTGATGTCTGACATTTAGGATCTTTCCACTTTTCTTTTAATTGTAAGTAATGGGGTATGATCTATCTCTCTATGTAAATCTGCTAATAGTCCTGATTATCTTCATAAAAAAAACTCCTTAGTACATGACTAAGCCAGTGTGATCTCCTTACAGCTCTTAACACATATCAGTGGCAGGATAGTGATCTGGGCACTTCTCAGGGCAGTAATTTACACAGAGATCATATGTTCCAGTTAGCTCTCTCTGATTCTAACTCTGATGATGAAATGGCATTCAACCATTCCACTGGCATCTCTATGAAAGAATCCAAATGTGAATGTAATAGAGACTTCCAGTATCACACCATGTACAACAGCACAATGAACTGTATCCTCTTGTTCTTTTCTGGAATCACTGGGACAGAGTCAGATGGGCAGAAAGACTATTTCAAAAAGAAAGATGAAAAGCCCTCCTCTTTTGATGAGTGGAGTGAATCCCACCTATTACTGGCTAAATTTGCAAGCACAAATAATGAGCACCTTTCTTCTTAGAACTGCCCTAAAATTGTAAGGATACAAAAAGGACTAAAATATCTCTGGGCTGCTAAGGAGCTAATACCGTCTTGTCATTAAATATTGGGAGAATCAAAACATGCATGTACACAGAGGTGTTTTCTTTAATAGTACCTAACAAAGGAAGGAAGCAAGACTTGGCCAAAAGAAGCTTCCTGAAGGAGCCATAAGTAGCTGAGCAGTATTTCTAAGAACTTAGAAGCTATAGGTGGTCAGGCATGGTGGCACACACCTGTAGCTACTCAGGGGGCTGAGGAAGGAAGTTCAAGGCTAGTCTGTGCCATTTAGCAAGAACTTGTATCAAAATAACATAAATCAAAAGGACTAGGGATGTAGCTCAGGGACAGAACATTTGCCGAGCATATGCAAGGCCCTGTTCAATCCCCAGAAGGGCAGGAAAGAAAGAAAAAGAAGTTACACAGGTAAAAAGATGTTGTGGTTGTAGTAAAGGTATGGGAAAGGGTTTGCACCATAGATGGAGGAAGGAACATAAGCAAAGACAAGAAACAAGAGATCAAGTCAGGGAACCATAGAGACCTAATGTTGCTGAATCACAGAACTAGCAGGAGGTAAATGCTGAGGCAGGAGAAAAGATCAGAGGCCAAAGTGCAAAGGGTAATGAAGGCAGGGAGACCCAGAATTTCCAGAAGTTGATGAATTCTATCAACTTCTATATGAATTGTCCATATAGAGTCCAGAATACCTCTGAAGTCTCCAGGTGAAAAAATATGACAAGCAAGCAGTGTATGAACCTGAATCTGAAAGCTGGGAGACAGCTTTGAGTCAGAGAGAGAGAGAGAGAGAGAGAGAGAGAGAGAGAGAGAGAGATTTGGCGTCATCTACCCAGAGATTGTATTTTATCTCCAATGATGATTGTGGTAGCTCCAGAGGGTTGCAAAGTGAAAAGAGAAAATGTCTGATGTCAGAACCTTGGGGAACATTCAGTTACTATTTTTCTGCCAGCACTCAATTTCCCAGTAGCCATGGTCTAATTAGAACACCAGGATAAGTTGAAAGTATGGAGATTGTGGCCAAGCGGAAATCATAGGCAATTTAATTACCACAAAGTACACCATACACCATGGCATAATGTCTTGGATTAAGCCTCACTCAAAAGAAGTTTTTAAATGTTTTATGAACATCTACCCTCTAATGCCTTCCCAAGCCTTCTTCCAGTTTTCCCTCCTTCTCAGTGTTATAACTGAATATCCAAGTGGGAATCTGATAAGAGAAACTCCTGGGGTGGCCACTAACTCACACCACAATGGCCAGACAGGATGTTTCTAATGCATTTTTAGTGATATTTTAAAGGGGCAATGGCTAGGTTCTTTAAAACTCCATGCCAAACCTCAAATACCCTTTGTTACTTCAACTTTATATCACAGATAGTGGTGATATAAAGTAATATCACTTCTGTCATTTTCAATCAAGCTTATAGGAGGGGTAAAACTATTTTTAATTGAACAAACCAGACCTTCAGGTTGCTATTTTAACTAGGAAATGTTATGTGCAAAGTTGACCATTTTACATACCATCCTGCCTCAAGATTAAAACATGTTTCAGTCCCTTGTTGGGTAATTAGATTTCTAAACAGTTAATACCAGGCTTCTACCCCATATGACTATTATTGATATTGAAAGCTGAAGACAGAAAAAGGAGCCAACAAGAGCAATAGTCAGAGATACAGTGTTCATCTTTCCTTAGAAGCCTAAGAAATAGCAGTCCAGAGGGCAGAAGTGATCTCATTAACAGCAAAGTTCAGGTAAAAGAGGGAATTAGAAGTGACCATTGATAGTATCAGGGCTTGGGTGATCAAGACATGAGTGGCCCCTGTGGAGTGGTGGAGGAGGAGACCATATTGCAGTGAACTGTGGAATGCACTGGAGGGGAAGAAGGAATGATGTTGGGTCAGATCTTCCCAGAAGTTCACTGAAGAGAGGACAGCTTTCAGATTTCAGACTCTCAGTCTGCCTTTCCAGTCACTGAAGAATGAGACTTCTTTTCAAACTGAAGTCCACAAAGTTTGTCAGGACCAGCATTTATAAGAAGGTGTCATTCTGTTTCCCTCTAAAAGTTTGTCACTCAAAAGTAGCCAGATTGGAGATGGTCTCAAGCTTGACATGTGAGTGAAATATTGCCTACCATGCCTTCACTTGCCCCACTTTTTGTGGCTTTGCATCAAAGGGATGCTAGCCTTTCGGGAAGTTTGCAGAAGAGATATCAACTAAAGGAAGATTTCCTTTCCACAATGTTTTGGGTGAGGGGTGTCTGTTTTTCATTGAGAAGCCTTGAACACAAGGAATTAGCAAACAAAAAAATCAACCAGACAGGACAGAGTCGTTATCTGATAGGTAAAGTTCAGCAGATGCTGGAAAGGATAGGCTGGCTTCAAACAAGAAAGGGACTGATTCTCAGAGTCCAGAGGAAAGAATATAAATTTAGGTCTATGGGGAAAGGATTGACAAACTTAGGAAGAGACTGTCTGATGATGTTCTCATGTGATTGTAGACATTATTTGCCAATTAGCCTCCCAACATGACAATGTGGTTGAAGCACAGACTTTTCAGAAATTTCTTCATCTTTCACCAAGTGAAGAGGGAATTGCTTCACTCATCCTTTTCTCTCCTGTCTTGTATACAGTATAGTATGGTGGACATTGAGAGATACCAGTAAAGCTAAAATGTTAGAGAAGCACCAAAGACCTGAATTAGGCTCTTCAAACTCATGGTTCCTCCTTAACCCAAAACAGCCTCCATTCTCACCAAAACCACTAAGCTTTTATATAGCAACTTACACCACCACCACCTTCTCTGCCTTTCTCTGATATTGGCCCATATGTACCCTAGTTTCTGCAGCCCTGAACAGTTCAACAATTTCTTGTCCACAATGCCCTCACAATGACAGCACAATTTTGTACACAAAATAGGCCCTCAATTGACTGAGTGAACTGAGAGGGTCTCTCTGCAAAATATGTCTCCCAAATATTTCATCAGTATTACTTATTTGTATTAAATAATTGAATGGGTTGACATAGAGAACTCCATTATTCATTCTATTTTTTTGTGGCAAAGGATTGTTGATATTGCAATAATTTTATTGTTTTCAATATGACCCTTCCTTCACTAAATAAAATATACTCCCACATTTAAGTTTTGGCATTAGCATATATAACCTATACCATAGGAATCAGGCAGTGTCTTGGACCCATATTATTTGAAATTTCTTCCTAATAAATGATAATATGCTAGTTCTAATTAAACTAGAATTTAGTTTAATTCATAAGTTAATATATGTCCAAAAAAAGTAATTTAAACACATCAGAGGCTGCATGAGATAGCATAAAGAACACTGGACTGAGTTGGGACATGTGAGTTCTTTCTAGGCTCAAACACTAAGATATAACTATGGAAACTGTTTAATCTCCAGACTCCCACACCCTTTGTAAAGTAAAGCAGATTGGATAGGAATACCTATATGGTCCCTTTTCTTATTACAATCCTACTACTTGGGCTAGAGCTTGTGTGGTGTGCATAAGATCCAGGTTCAATCTCCAATACCTTAAAAAAAAAAAAAAAAAAAAACTACTCTATGAAGCATTGACTTCCTATTTACCCAGTGTGTTGTCTTTGACAAAGTGAAACTTCTGAAATGCCTCAGCTGCTGATCACCCAAGCTGTCCTTCCACAGAATCCCTAATACAGAAATCTTCACATGAGGAACTGCATGACATGCTACCCTGACTATAAATGATTGAACTAGAAAAAGGTCAGTCTGGTGTTCTCTTGAATGCTTCCCCAACATATGGCCTCTTCAAAGTAGGGGCTCAGCCAATCCATTAAAATCTCTTAGGGAATTTGAGTATAGGACTTTCAAAGAGATAAGAGTTACAGGGTACCTTTTCTTTGTTACAGTTATTTTGAGGAAATTAGTCACCTGTTTGAGATCCATCCCCAAGTGACAATAAAACCCCATGAGGTCAAAGACGATTCCATCTTGTCCATTATTGAATCCCCCATACCTGATTCAGAGGCATTCAGTAAACACATTTTAAGCCAGCTAAAGGAAAAGAGGGATTAAAAACAGAGGGAATAGAAAATAAAGTACTATAGAAGCTCAGAAAATGTTACAAAAACAATCTCACTTTATACTCTTCATTGCCCAAAAAGCATCGACTAGAAGCCATTAGTCCTTTTAGTTCATAGTTTTAGTCCAATATCTTTGCCTCATTAATTTATTAATTCAAATGAAGGAATTAGACAATTTTCTGATTATTATATATGGGTTGTTCTGACATAACACAAAATGACACTGAAAATCAAGGAAAACTCCACCTCTGAAAAGATTTATCCCTCCTGCAAACATAGTGTTAAACTGACTCAGGGTAAACAAAAACAAACCATGAAATACATTAAACGGTTGTTATGAGACATTCAGATTGTGAGAATTTGGCTTTTTTGAGTTAAAGTTCACAAAATCATCTGACTTTTGGGGAGAGTTTGTTTACCCGTTTTTTCTGAAATTACCAGGAACAATTAAAGTTTAGAGATACCCTGAATTTTTCTTTCCATTTGGAGGGGGCCTAATGGCCCATCTGCAGATCTGGAGTCCTATGTGCACATATGGTCCATAATTTATGAAATGTGCTTATTTACATGTTTTAATTCTTACTTTCTATTGTTTTGACAAATAAATGCACCCTTATATCTTTCTTTGACATGCAGACACATATATTTTAGTTATATGGGTAACACAGTAGAGAATTGTCAGGCATAAACACATTAGGGCTGATATTTTCTTGTTTATAAATACAATGAGGAGAAGTTTACAACTACTAGAGGACATTCTTCTGTACCAGGCACTTCCATTCAGTGGGTTGATACTCACCTGAAATAGTTGGGGGCACACTTTCCTTCACTAGGAGAATCACTTGAACTTGACCTTCACCTGCAACTGAATATAAAAAGCCACAACATGGATGTCACACAAGGATCATCTTAATATTAAGGAAATTCATTTGTGAGAAAGATGACTTTACATGTGCTTCCCAGACTAACTAAATTTTCAGAATAAAAATAAATGATGTCCTTGTTAGTTAACCTAAAAATTGATTTCTAATATTTTATTTTGATTGCTTTAATTTGATTTAGCTTAATTACAATGAGTTTCTCCAAGAGAACTAGCAAATAATAGTTGAGGAATGGGGGGACTTTTAGCCATATGTGCTTAGAAAGCCAATGGTGTCCAGCAGGTCAGTCCCCATATCCTATTTTGTCTTCATCATTTTGTAGGCTCACTTTTCAGAATTCATGTGGTTTTTGCCAATATAATTCAGATCACCCATGAAATGTATTTGCTTTACCTTTATCCAAACAAATTGCCCTTTTAATGAAGTCTTTTCCCCCACCCCCTTTTCCTCCCATCTTCCAAACCAACTGAGCACATTTAAAAGACCTGGGGTTCATTAATTTTAAGTGTTCAATAAATTAGTGGAAATAATCAAAAGGCCTGATTCTTTCTGATAATGACAATTTGATGTCAGTATAAACCAGTAGATTAAGCTGGGAACATATGCTCCTTTGCCAAGAGAGGCTGCTATAATTAAATAGTGAATGCATCTACAAGGTGCTCTCACGCCTGATTAATTAGTAATCAGGTGCGCGAACTCCATTTTTCTGGTAACACCTTGTCTCTTATTGGTTAATTACCTTTCTGCCTTATCAGATTTCAGGTGAGCTGACACCTCCCACCACTGGAGGGCCCAATGCTGGGGTCTTGGTCAAACCCCTGCTCTCCATTTTTGTTTCCTTGGGACCCTAAACCCTTTCTTCCATCACAGATGGGATAGACTAGAAATCATTCTTTTTAATGACAAAGCATAATCTTCGGAACATTATAAGGAAAATAATCCTTAAAAAGATTAATGATGAGAGCTCTCCAATTCTTATATTCTTATTTTGATCATTTTCTAATTTAATTTTTTTTCAATAATAAAATGCATGAGTCTTGACTTTCTCTTTGTACTGTCACATCCTGAGACCAGGCATAATGACAACATGCTCTTGATGTGTTCCATTTTTATCACTACTTCCAAGACTTTGCTTATATTGTTCCTTTATCTTCTTGCATATTTTACTCACCTTTGTAACATAAAATAATAATAATAAAGCCACAAATCAACCATCTCATCTCTTTTAATCTGTAAGTTCTGACATATCCACTTTTGTGTACACTGATCTATACATTTTCTAAAAGTTGAAAAGCCCTTCCAATTCTATACTATGACATTTATCCCAAATTTGTTCTCAACTCAATTCCTAGTTATTGATTAGCAACAGTTCATTTAGTATTGCATCAGTAATTAGCTTTGTCTTCATATTTTGTTTCATTTTGTGGTGCTGGGAAACGAACCCAGGGTCTTATACATGCTTAGAAACGAACCCAGGGTCTTATACATGCTTGGCAGGTGCTTCTTCTGAGCTAAACCCACTGGCTCCAAATATTCAAGAGAGGGATTTTTCTTATGTATGTTATGACCCTAAGTAGTTCTGGAAAGGTAGAGACTTCATATTCATGGGCCAATTTAGAAATCTCAAGTTTACAAGGCTCTACTCTGAGTATCCAGTACTCAGAAAAGGAAAAGACAATAATAGACAAGATGGCATCATCAGAAAACATGCAAAGATAGTAACAATGGAATGCCTTTCTTCAAGACGAGGGATTAAATGTTGCCATAGAATCAAACTCTTTTTTAAAAATATTTATTTTTTAGGTGTAGATGGACACAACACAATGCCTTTTATTTTTATGTGGTGCTGAGGATCGAACCAAGGTCATACCCATGCTAGGCGAGCGCTCTACCGCTGAGCCACAATCCCAGCCCCTAGAATCAAACTCTTAAGGAAGGGAAATTAAAAAGAAGTCTAGGAAACATTTGGAAAGAGAAATCAGTTCATTTAAAGATGTTATAAAAAATCACTCTTATTTAATGGTTTCTAAGCAACATAGATTTCAGTACCCTCTTCTTTACGACAGAGCCCGAGGTAAGGGAAGTACTAACAAGTTTTTACAATGATTTATTCAACCTAAAGTAAGTAAAATTATACCTATAAGAGAATAGTTGGGGGAAAGGAAGATTCACAGCTCTTTTTCCCACCACATAGATGAAAAAATTAAAATAGAGGTAAAAGAACCAATGTATCCAAAATCCCTTGAGTGAGAAGGGATTTGGCAAGCAACCTTGAGCTGCAGATCTAATTGCACTGACTTCTGGGACTGAGGAAGCACATCCTCCACACATCTAACATCCATCAGAGGCTGCTCCATTTGTCCTCTGTTCCCTTATGCCTGTACCCAGGTACTATTCCTAGTAAACAGAGGCTTCCTGGTGCAGTGCGTGACAAATGTGGAGCTGTCACTGCGCCCTGTGGATAGCTCCTGCACTGAGTGGCCAGTGATTTTCTTGTCTCTACATATGCACAAATGCCCCCTCACCTCTAGGAGGAACTCTTCCCCAAACAGACATTGAAAAGCTAAAAGGCATATTAAAAATCTATTAGTCATCCTTTAAAGTTAAGTGTCAGAAGGCCATGAAGCAGTTTCAGTATCAAAACAGACAGAGACATTATCAAAAGTAGGAAATCTTGGCAGAGTATGACTTTTTACACCACTGCTCTCTATGTACCTCTGGGGCTGGTTCTGAACCTGTGAACACAGGTTGCAAGAGGAAATCTTCCCAAACACCATTTCCAAGTCAGGAGTGACAAGGGAGAGTGGTGGGGGAAATGTGGAAGGGTCCCTAGCCAAGATTTGAATATTGGCTCTTCCCCTTCCTGGAAAAGGACAAATGACAAGTTAGCTACCATTTGTGAACCTCACACAATTCATCAGAAAATGGGAAAATCATACTATTTACTTTCTAGGGTTGTTGATTAAAAGAAAAAAAAAAGTGAGATATTCTATGGAACATGCTTAGTACAGGGCCTGGCACATAGTGAACAATAAACATTAGCTATTATCAACACTACCATTATGGCATGCATGTTATGCTAGGCACCAGTTAACAAGGCTCAAGAAATATGCTTTTACTTTCTTTCCGCTCTTTTTACAGCTGCACCTAATCATGATGAGCTGCACTATTACAGAGTTGTAAGCAACTTAACGAGATCTGCTAGTTTGCTAAGTATTTTGACTCTAAAAGACTGTAAATGTGAAATGTCATTTCCAATTTGAATAAGTATAAAGAGGAATGAAAGTCATTTAAGAATAAAGGTATGGACTTGGGAAGAGTTTTCCCAAGCCTTCCACAAGCCGTGCCATTGTAGGCATGCTTTCTGGGTGCTTCGAATTTCTGATTTTATATTCATAATATGAGAATGGTTAATCTTCCTTGTTTGTAAATGAAGTCCCATGGAGTTGATCCTTCCTAGATTTTAAGAACTGGTTCTCCAAAAGAAGGAAAGCATTTGACTCAATAATTGCCATATTCTTCTGATGAGTACTATATGATCTAAGCTAGCTATAAACACAACCATGTATGAGGAGGAGAAAAATGTGCCAAGAAATGGCACCTGGTAAGAGGAAGGGGAGTTATCCAAGTAGATGCCATGCAAGTGCCTACAGGGTGAGGTGCTGTATCTGGTAAATTTTGTCCCCTCTAGGGTGCTAGGGAAGAAAATAAATAATTCTTCCCTAACAGGTCTCATTCTCTTTTGAAATTTTGGAGGGAGAAATAGTACCTATTTAAAAAGAAAAATGCATGTGGCATCTTAGTTAGCCGCGGACTCCTTCCCTATTTGACTCTTCCCTTCATATCCCAGGTCTCACTTTGATACTTCAGTTTATTCACCTTTTAGAACTCCTCATTGAGTCCACGTTAATCCAATAAGTCAGCCACTGACCACACAATGAAAAGAACGCAGAATAGCAAACTGCAGTTGATTTCTACAAACCGTATCCCACCCTGGCTCATGGCTTTGCTTTCTGCTTCTGTCTGCAGTTGACCCAGGACCCAGCTTTGACTTCTTGACATAGCTGTTGGATCTAGTCCTCTCTCATCTTAGCTTGCCATGTCTGCTATCTCCACCTCTTCTCCTCAAAACTGCCTCATATACCTGCATTTTCCTGCTGTTTGTCTTGTCCTGCTGGGTGTACTTAAACTCATTCCCCAGAAGCAAACCATTTTTATTTAGTGGCAGAAAAGGCTTGCTTGTCAATTGGTCCCTGGGCAGCTTGATTCATAGGACCAACACTCCTGTTATGAATTCAGCTTCACAGAGACAACCATGAAAGTCACCTTGGCCCTCATAACACATGGTCCTTTAAAGACCTTCGTGGAAATACAATATGACAATCCTGTGATCACCTTAGAGTCTTCTATTAACCCCAATAGCATTCATTCATGAAAGAGTGTAAGTTTTTATGTGTAAAAGAATTTGATCAAGACACCGACAGATACATCTGAATTACCCACTGTCCTGAGAGCTAGCTCAATTAAACCTTCTTAATTAACTCAGAGAACAATAGCAATTGTGGCACTGACTCAGAGGGATGTTTACCACACTTATGTGGAGGCATTCATGACATCTTGAGTTTCCTGCAGACCTACAGAACCACAAACTTCAGGGAGGGACCTAGGAACAAGCATTCTGCCGGCTTGCCCTTAAGATAAATTTTAAAAATGCCAATTTAAGGCATTATACAACTTCTCTTGTACAATACTCACACATGGCATGTTCACAAGAGCAGGTGTGCTTAACAAGTGAAGAGAAAGACCCTGATAGAAAAGATCCTTATATAGCCACCTTTTATGAACTCAACCAAAACCTTGCAGACCACCACGTTATATTCCCTAAATATGCAACATGTAGTGACCATCTTGATGGCATAAAAAGTTTTGTTTTAGTGGCTATGAATTTTAAGGTATTTAGAAAAAAGAACTAGCCCATTAAATC